TCAAATGACTGAAAATTTCGTTTGGTTGGTTTTCAAAAAATCGGCTAGAGTTTCTTAGCAACTTATACTGTTCCTTACACTGTTCCTTTGGGTTTAAAGTCAGTCAAGCTGCAAATCATCTCAGAGAGGGGGAGGTGCGCACCCCCTGCACCCTCCCCTTAGATCCGCCCATGTTACCCGAGTTTCTCCCCACTCATTTGATATATTGGTAGAAAAAAGTGTATAAATGTTAGAATTGTCGTTGCTTTTGTCAAGAAGGTATTGAAGAGCTCCTCAACTTAAGTTATTTTCTAGAGGTTTCTGAAAAAGAGGCCAAAAACATCCAGAAAATAAAGCTGGAAAAAAGACAGCCATTTCACTAATAAAAGTTGATTTACCATAAGGGATTTTCTGCAGTCTTCTGTCCCTTTGCCTTTTTGTATTTTATTTTTCGCATTATTTAATATGAGATTCACAGCAAACAAAAAACCTAAGAACTAAATTTTTGGTTTTTACACCCAACCCCTTATTTTTTGTGTCAGTCGCACAAATTTTAAAACATTCATATGCCAATTTGCATAACTGATTACTGAAGAGGCAGAATCGTGCACGAGGGAATGAAGAAAAAATGTAAAATTGATTGTTTATGGCTCGGACTGACAAAATGAATATCTAATTTTTTTTTAGCACGTTCTTCGGTCGGCAACGGCCAACATGGCGAACGAAGGCAAACCTAAACGCAATTTTGTAGTCTTTTTTGAGGCAAAGAAAAACTTTCTTTCGCCATGGTTGTAAAAAGAAGGAAAAGCTTCCATGACGGTTAGAATGGAGAAAGGCCAAAGGCGGAAACGTAACTTCAGAAAACTTTTCCATGGAACAGTGGGACGGTTAAAACCACGAGGAATGGCAACGTTGGACATGTACTCCGCTTCTAAAAGTGTCTTTATTGAAAAAGGTACTAAACTTAAATTAAAAGTTGCTTTGTAGCCGATTATACTCTTAAATGTTATATTTTACGCTGGAAGAGATTTTTTACCCCGCGAGCAGCAAGATCGAAGGGCCTCTGCTCGCAGGGTAAGATTTTTATGAAGCCTGCGGACAGCCGGATTACAGCGCCGCAGTTACGAGGAACAAGTTTGATTCCACATCATAGACAATAATTATTCTTTGTTTCTTTCCTTATTTTTTCGAAGACAGTTTTGTGGGAGTTGTTCTCCTAGCGCTTCTGTCATTTTCTCTCGCAACGAAAACTTCTGTATACTGACAATAAAAAAACCTTCTGAAACTTCAAGGGGAACTCGGGCGGTGGGGAGGGGTTGGGGGGACCTTTTCTTAGACAGACCCGACTTTTTTTAAAATTCTACATCGGTTTGTTTACAGGCTGTTTCCTCGACAACATCATAGGTCTTGTGACTCCGATCGTGAAGGGTGACACCCTCGATTCACTTTCATTATTTTTTAAAGCTTATTTGAAATTATTTGGTAAGTGGTATAACTTTTACCTTAAGTTGTTCAAAAATAATTGAGAATGGCTCTTTGTTATCTCAGGGTTGTTTAACCGGCTTATTGTGTAGTTTTGCACATTTACGGCGTCAGAATTAACCAGTTCACTGGTATTATGAGATGTGAGGGCAGAGGCACCCAACTTCGGTGTCCTCCTAAATGCATTAAACACACTTTTTAGGCTATCCAGAGTACTTTTAGATCTCTAGAAATACATTCTAATCGGCGCTATAAAATTTGTATTTGTTCGGTCATCCTAGAGCGACTTGAGTCTTTTCGAAATTACATGAGCTTCAGTATTATTTTCCTGAAAATTGTAGATACAATTTAAAGTTTTACGAAAGTGAGGATATTTCTTATTCCTCTCTCGTACAGCGTTAACTACCTTTTATTAAAACAACTGCCTTAATTAGGATCCCAGGAATGATTCGTTCCCACCCTGGGTTGTCATATAACTGACCGGGTAACAAGAAGATCTATGTCACGTGGCGTTGAAATCGAGAAGACTGGAACCAATGTTCAAAATGGCGGACAGGGCAGGCGAAATGTGCAGACGAAACCTTGGATTTCAACCATCTAAAAAGACCACAAAAGGCCAGTTTTTGATATTTTTTCATGGAAAGATATTATTGTATACGTATTCATTGAAGACGATATGTAATTTTCACATGACAACCGAGCAGAATCAAATTTTCATAGCCGTCGCGGGAGACGAGTTGTCGTCAACAATGTTTATATTTTGACGGGTCGAAGAGGGCCTATTATGTTCAGAAGTTTTTCTGATTTAGGGTGAGAAATATCTACCCCTGAACCTTAAATTTCGCTGGGAAACTAGAACGTTTCTGGAATTGATGAACTGATGTTATCTGAGTCCGTACTAAAAAATTCAAATTTGTTCTTTGCCATCAAATCTCTGGTGAAGGTTTATGTGAGTCAGAGATGGCCGATTTATCCCAAGTACACAGAAAGGAAAATGGGATGACTTAGAAAGGTGAGTTAATTGACAGCATTTCGGTGGATATTAATCCTAATTAACTTAAACGTAGACCATTGGAAAGGTGACAGCTTTGGAAACTGAAACTGGTTTCCCGCCATCTTTATGGGGGTGGGAAGGGGGGTGATGGAAAATGGAACTTTATGTGAAATGAATTGCTGGTCTTTCCTGAGATAATCATGGAAGTTTGAATTTTCAGCAAGAATCCTTATTAAAAGAAAATAAAAAACGGAAGAAGCCCAAGGTTGCTGCCTAAGAAAATTTTTCGGGAAAAAGTTAGGAGCCTGAGCCACATTTCGAGGAGCCCTTTCAAAAAAAAATAAGCAACGTGTGACAACTGCTGCACTTACTGTTTGATCGATAAACTTCAAATTTATCATTTATCCAACTCAAGGGCACAAATAGTAGCATAGTAAAGGGTCAGCTAACATTCAAGGACCAATCTCCCTTTTTCTGTGCTAGAGGTACTTTACTTCATGTATTTCGAGAACAGTGGAGCCAGGGCATCTAAACCTGGTTTTAATTAGTTCACCAGATGCCCCTATCGATAGTTTCTGTATCTTAAGGTATCAGCCACCCTTCAGGACAGTCCGCGCGCGGATCGCTATAGCGTTCGTTGTTTTTATAAAAACCCCTATAAACCATATATTTGTTAAAAGCTTAATAATTCCAGATTATGGATTTGAACTAACAAAAACGATTTACTTAAATGTGTTTCGAAATTGGAACGCTTTATGTAAAAGTACACGTCTCTATAAATCATGTTTCACTCCCGCCGGAAATAAACGGAAGAAAACAATTAACACCGCATTCGCTTCTCAACACGTTCCACTAAAAAACCGTGTCTCAGATTTTTGACAAGTGCGTTTGTTTTTCTTTTATTAGCAAATGAAGTTGGGGAAGGCAATTAGTCAACACTCTCTGTGTAAAAAAAGCTCTAGCTTTAAAATGAAAAGGAGTATTAAAATTCGCAGACACGGTTTTGTAGAAGAGATATATGGCATCACTCTGGCCAAATTTTAGCCAAATTGACTGAAAGGCTGCCGACTTGGAGTTCAAAACGTACGAGTCGATCAGCAAAATTTGCGTTCGGAGATAAAATAGAAAATACATTTTTGGCGGCTTGCTACCTTGAATGAGATTATAACACCTAAATGTTTATTCTGATTGATATCAGAGAGGGATCAATTTTCTCTGACAATAGGAATTTGACAGGTAACATGTAACAGGAACAAACTTTTTATTGCTATCAACATCTTCAAGTCAACAGTTTAATTCTCCGTTGGAAAACTTCCACTCTTTTACACCACGAGAAGCACGGTTTAATTCTTTCTCGAGCGCCTGGCCAAGGAAACTAAAAAACTTTGAAGCCGCCGAATGCCCACCACCGATTGCTCAAAGGCCAAGAACTGACGCCCGGTTTATTTCAAACGCTCTGCTCTTCTCGGAAGAATTAAAAACAGAATTTGTCTTGTGCGACGGCCATCTTTCATTCTCGCACTGGATTCTCCAGGTAGAACCAAGTCCATTCTTAGTCGCTACATTTTCCATGACTTGGACTCTTCCCTGGCAAAATCGACAAGATACAGACTTGTCCAGTTTCTCAAGCAGCTTTTCGCTCAATACGATAGCTCGACCGCTTATTGTTTTCCACGTTCCATCAGCAGATGGGGTCGATGAGCTTTATTGGCTTTCTTCATCTGGTTCTTCAAGCTGGATTTTGGAGCGGCTTGCACTCTCAGCAACTGCAGCATTTTCGCTTTTCTGAATATCCAACTCCTCGAGCCACTTCTCTTGCTGATAAAATGAGCCTTTGTCGCTCTCTGTCAATTTTGCGGCCCATTCTTTGTCAAACTCGCTCTTCGATTTCTTTTTCGCTCTTGGTTTCGATGACGAAAACGGACACGACCTTTTCTTTTTTTTGGCGGCATTTTCACCGAAGCAAACGCTAAATATCCACGGCGAATACTAAAGGCTATAAACAATGCGAAGACAATTCGCACGTGTTGTAGTTCACAGGCAAGTTAATTGATATATGACACGGGTATGACATATCTTGTTAACGATCAATTAAGATAATTAACGAGAAATAATCTTTTATCCCTGATATCTTTCGACAGAAATAATATTTTCTTCTGATTTTTTTTTTAAAAGAAAGCTCTCAAGCATATCTATTTGAAAACGTTGAAACCTCAAATATGGAAAAATGGCAGTTTTAAGGGTGGCTGATACCTTAAGTAGACAGTCTCGACTAGGTCCTCAAAACTTGATTCATGCTTCTCGAAACCTAAGTTTCCCTCGCAGCCATTTAACTCCCCACCATCTGACCGCTGAGCTCTAATATCCTATCACCTGGAACAGGCTACCATTTAACGCTACAAAGGAACGTTGTGTGACGAGATCAAAACGGAAGACTCCAATTAATCAAGTTTTGAAACACGAAAATCAAGTCTCAAGTTTCGAGAAACCAGCATTTTTAATATTCACCACCTGAAAGGATTGCGAGAAAGGATTTATGTCTCGAGAAAAATAACAATAACCTTTTGCACGTACAGCAAAAGCACCGACCAACAGCACTTGGGTGTACAATTTAAGCGAAGTTAAGTTTATGTTTTTAGGCGATAAAAAAGGACCAGTGAAAGGTTTTTATCTTGAAGTTTGGAAAATTGACTCAGTATTTTTGTATTAAGTCTATCTTTTGAACTATCAAAACAATTTTTTACATTTGTGAAGGTATGTATTTACGTGCATCAGTGCAACAGCATAAATTAAAAAGAGATGAAAATATGATCTTGAATAGCCGCCGTGAATGATTTTCAAAAACTGAAGTGTTTTTGCAAGCCTTTCAAAAGTTACCACAAAATGTACACCAAAACATAGGGTGGCGTGGATAACGCTGAATTAATAATAAAAGTTATTGGGCAGGTGAAATTTCTTTAGGGAATTCAAATTATAGAAGAACTGTAATCAATCCTGCTTTTTTAAAAAAAAAAAATTTCAGGCTAGTTGAAATGTTGACCTTTGGGATAGTACATGCTACAATCGGCGACATAATTGTTGAGACATTGTACTTAACTGGGGTAACTTTAAAGAACAAAACAATCCACGCCCTTTACCCCTCCCCTCCATCCTAAGTTGGGGTTTTTGTTATTTTCTACAAGTAGCTCAAACAGCAGCACAACATTGCATGGAGGGGATAGGAGAGGGAAAGCTTTATTTCCCTATTTTTAGTTAGCAAAATGTTTGGGAGGCCCTTTAGGGCAAATTGTCTCAATTAATTTTGTCGCCCATTGTAGCTACAAATTGCCCAAATGGGAAGCTTTAAAACTGACTTTCTTTGGACCCTGGACTATATAATTAATACTTGACAAGCAGAGCTATCATCAAGGGCCGTAACCTATAACACCTGTTATGGCTGAGCTCACTTAATGTTACGTGTGAGCAAGGTGGAAAGCTAAAGGTGACACTATAAATTTTTCTGAGATGTTATGGGTGAATCTTCATTCCCTACGGCTGCTTCAAAACTTATGACAGCCCTGACAAATCAACTCTGTGAAGGATCTGTGATGGAGAAGGTGGTAAGAAAAGTTAAATTCAATGCAACCAACCCAATCCTAAACGCAGTTTATACATTTGTTTGTAACTAAGACGACACAATAATGGTAATGATTCAGTGATGTGTATTTCAAATGCATTATGTATGGCTATTTTGCTTTAACACATCTTTAATTGTGACAACTCCTTTTGTATGTTACAGGACTGGTCTTGGATCAAAAGAAGGAGACCAAGAAATTCCCATAGAGATTTGTTGGACTAAGTAAGTGGGTGTGATCTCTGCAGAAAAAAACTGTTTGAGCTACAGGCTAATATATACTTTGTCTCAACTTTTATGGAAATTTTCTTACATTATTGTACTGGTTGTTCGTTTTCGATGCCAAAAACATTGCCTGTACAATGGCCAAATCTAGAATGCATTGCAGTTCTATATGTTCTGAGCTGTACTTCATGTAATTAATGGAAATTTGATTAGTGTAAGTCAAAGCATATGGTTGAATTTAAGATGGCAGCCACTTTCCTTGTTTTGAACAGCAAAGAAGGCAGTGAGAAACAGGAATTTGCCATGCAATGTTTCGACCATTTTTGTAATGAGGAGTTAAAAAAACCTGATACTTTTACATTAATTTTAAGAGTGGATTTTAACCTGTACTCCAACCATAAAAAGAAATAGTTCTTCAGTTAATAATACCTGAGGAGTCGAATGCATATCGATTTTGAAGGGAAATTCTCAAGTTCTGGTCAAAATATTTCTTTTCTTATTGTTCATACTTAGATAATCTGAATACTTTGTGGTAATCTTTCTGTTTGAACAAAGTTCTTGTCTTGTCTTGCCTTAAAACTAATAGTATTTAATTCTGTTGAATTTGATTTCCTTTAATAACAACAGAAATTTTAGGGTAATTTTGTGCCTTTTTTAGTCATTGGATGTGGTGGAGAACAGATCATTAAACTTCAGTCGGAATTTGGAGGCAAAATACAAGTTGCCCCAGGTAATGAAGCTATTATGACCATGAAAAAATGGCCATGTA